AAAAATACTCTAATGAAATCGGAACACGTCAGTGCGCCTGTCGATTACACAGCACCCAATATTACACCATATATTATAATGACATATAATGTCACATATATGTCAGAAAACGATCTAAAAAACATTTGGATTTGGGTTTGCAATATTCGCTCAATTTTAGCATTCAAATGTTGAATATTACGGTGAAAACTATTCGAATATTACGAATTTGGTGACATACCCTTTTTGTAGTTAAGTCGGTTGGCTATTTGTTTCCATGTCTCCTTAACAGTTATTTTGGAGCAAAATGGTATTAAAATAGCTCTAAGTTTTTTCAATACCAACACACAAAACCACAAACACACAATAACACTCACGCCTGTCACCTAGAGGGGTAGGCAGAGACTACGGACTTCCATTTAGTGCGATCCTGACACATCCCTCTCGCCTCCTTTACATCCATATATCTACGCATACACGTTCGTCGGTTAAGGGTATACTCTAATCTGGCCCATTTTCAATGTATCGCCGATTTGGACGATAAACCTTCATCTAGGGCGCCTCTTTCCGACCCTGCCTTTCCTTTCTGCAACATAAATTTGCTTTGTCACTCTTTCCTCGTTCATTATTTCTACATGAACAAACCACCGAAGCATTCCTTTCTTAATCCTGGTCAAACGTCATCTTGCAAACCACACTTTTCTCTTATCACACTATTTCTCACCCTGTCATTCAGATTCATCCCTAGCATACTCCTTAGTGACCGCATTTCTACAGCATTTATTCTACTCTCATGCCACTTCTGCTAGACCCAACTTTCACTACCATACATTAAAGTAGGGACTAACACAGCATTATGCCTTACGAGCCTTATTTGACACATTCTGACTCCTCATAATAGCGTGTAGAGCCCCATTCACTCTATTTCCTGCGTTCACTCGTCGTTCTATATCCTTATCATATCTACCATCCCTGCTAAATAAACATCCCAAATATACAAACTCATTCACTTGTTCAATCAACTCCCCTTCTATTCTTATTTCACATAACGTTTTACTTTCTTCTCTTTCGAAAACCATCACTTTCGTCTTACTTGCGTTCACTTTCATACCATTTACATTTTTCAATACCATCTTGCACATATATGTTATTTATTACCGACAAGAGCTGTCAGCAGAACCAGTTTTTATACCGCTGTATCCTCAAAATATGGATACATAGAAACACTCTGTAACGAATACAGCTATAAATTTATTGTCACTTAAGATTACCTTGAAAAGGAGAAAAAACTAATTTATTTGTATTTATCATGTTATCAGTTTTTAAACCACGTTGATAAATTGTATAAATTAATCTCCGCATTGCTCTTAATATTTTAAAATATTGTCTCCTCTTGTTGTACCTAGATTTACATACTTACTCCGCTCGAGTCCAGTCTGGAAATGTTCGGATATTTTAAAAGATATTGATAATAATCTTAAAATAGCTATAGAAAAAATTCTAAATTTAACTTTAAATACAACAGCCCGGACTCAAGCTACTTTACTTATAAAATTTGGTGGCATTGGTGTGAGAAATCTTTCTAGCGTTGCATTGCCTGCTTTCCTTGCTTCCGTGCATAATATCAGTGACTTATGTACATAGGCTGCACTAAAAGTATCGGGAATGGAATATTTCCACTGTTCCTGTCATATTAAAATCTTTTTAATTGAAAACTCCTTGGTTTTAAAAATCGAATACCATTTATTTATTTAAAAAAAGATTCTCCGTCTTGTCACAAGGTTTTGTCAAACTTGTTTAGTCGTTGAGAAAATGGAATTGGCTTGAGAAAATTCAAGAGCGATGATTTATTATGACTTTCGAAGTGGTTTAACACAAAAACAGTGTGTTGACCGGATGATTTCTGCATTTGTTGATGAAGCCCCATCCAAAACCATAATTTATCGCTGGTTTGCTGAATTTCAACGTGGACGTGTCAAGCTCAGTGATGATCCCCGTCAAGGTCGTCCAAAAACTGCAGTCACCCAAGAAAACGTTGATGCTGTGCGTAAGCTGATTGAGGAAGATCGACATGTGACATACTGCGAAATTCAGGCAACTTTAGACATTGGCATGAGTCAAATACAAATAATCTTGCATGAACAATTAGGTGTAAAAAAGTTGTTTTCCCGATGGATACCGCATTCGCTCTGTGAAGAGCAAAAAGCGGCTCGCGTTACTTGGTGCGTCAGAACTCTCGAAAGATTCCACGTAGGATCTTCAAATGCTGTATACAACATCGTATCAGGTGACGAATCCTCGATATACACATACGAACCCGAAACAAAAAACCAGTCACGAGTTTGGGTGTTCGAAAATGAGTTAAAGCCAACAAAAATTATTCGTTCACGCAGTGTTGCAAAAAAAGTGGTGGCCACGTTTGTCTCCAAAACCGGCCATGTTACGACTATTCCTCTTGAGGGATAGTAGCCACAGCTTCTTCAGGTGATGATAATCTCTGTCGCCTACAAAACGGCCATTTTGGAGACCCCAACTTCCGAATGGAATGGTTGCTTTAAAAAATGTGTCGAATTTGGCGGAGAATACTTCGAAAAGCAATAAATACATTTTTAAATAGTAATGTTGTGTCACTTCCTTGATTCCCGAAATTTTCAGTAACATCATTTTAATAAAGTAGACCAGTGCTTTGCTACGGAGGCAGGGCAGACATGGCAAACGCTATGCCCCGGTGAAAATGTTCCACTGGAAGTTAACCAACAAAAACAGTGGGATATTCCGTTGGTACAAAACGTGCAGAAAGATTTGTTTAATAATTTCCATAGTGACCAAGATAAGGCAGGCCTTCTAGCTGTTTCGACTAAGGAATCTAGTCACTAGTTACATGCTTTACCATCAAATAATCTCGGCACATTACTTGATGGGGAAAACTTGCGCATCGCCGTAGGAATCCCACTAGGAGCGGCGATTTGTCAACCCCATCAGTGCCCCAGTGGTAGCAGCGTCGATAATTTTGGGCTCCACGGACCTTCATGTAAAAAAAGTGCTGGTATGTTTTCACGGCACGGTTCTTTGAACGATGTCATCCGAAGGGCTCTTGTCTCTATAAGTGGTCTCTCAGTTTTAGAGCCTTGTGAAATATTTAGAGACGAAGGGAAGAGACCCAACGGTATGACATTGGTCCCTTGGGAGAGAGGTAAAGCCCTAGTGTGGGATACTACTTGCGTAGACACTCTGGCGGCCTCTCATCTCAGGGGTACCTCGTTTAGAGCTGGGACGGCATCAGAGGCAGCTAAACTGAGTAAGTGTCGCAAAAATGAGTCTCTGAGAGATAACTACATTTTTGTGCCATTTGCTGTAGAGACTATCGGTCCGTGGGGTCCACGTGCGGTGAAGTTCCTAAAGGAACTCCATCCGTGGCTGGTCGTTGCTGCTGGTGATAAGAGGGCTGGTTCTCGTTCAAAGGGTAAGTATAGTCATTCAGCGGGGAAACGCAGCCAGCGTTCTTGGCACGATACCGCGGGGAGTAGGACTGTATGTTAATTAAATTAGTTTACTAGTTTTAGTTTTTTTATTATAGTTTTTAATATTGTATATAATAAAATATTGTATATTAAAATACTCCATGGAGTAAAGTGCTTGTTACAAAAATATAGAGAATTTATTATCTGTTAATTAAATTAATTTCATGCGATCTGTCTAGCCTCAAGGTCAGGGTCATAACTTTGGCAGTTTTTATTACTTCATTGTTGTTTCTGTTAAGTGCTTACATTAGTAACAGCAATATGAACATTTGATTTAATTCTAAATTTCCTGCAAGTCACTAACTCGTAGCACGAACGTTAGCACTAGCTCAAATTCAAAAGCAATAGCCCTACCCAAAATATACTTATTAATAGTTAAATGTTTATTCATTGTTGTAAAAGACAAATATACTTCAATGCCTCTGTCAAATTTCCAATGAAAATAACTGTATGCCATCAAAAACATAACTTGTAAAAATACCAAGTCTCGCAACTCAGTTCTTCTACCGTAAAAAGTTGTGAGATCCATGTAATACCAAGTCTGTTAATTTATTCAGTCCCTACTTAAGGGTCCTTCTGTCTCAAGTTATTATGTAATTAGCTAACCTAACAACATCTTATAATAACCATATCAATATTTAAAATATTTTATATTTTAAATACATAGATTGACTTGGCAATCGCACTAAGCAATCTAATGATCATGAAAACACAATGTATCTCACAAGTTATACATATAATATTAAATTATCAGCATCTCATTTCTTTTTGTAGATAGTGCTGCTTTTTTTCCTTTCCGGTACGAGTATCATCTTCGATCTTGAATACCAACTACGGATTTTTGGGCAATTTAGTCTACTCAATACTTTGCGGGATTTTGATACAACTTCATAAGACATGTCCCATTCTTGCTTTTTCATTCCGTTGGCCATTTTACAAGTTACCTTTGAACATAATTATATCTAGGTACCTATCTACATCTATTATTCCATTATATTATACGTATACATGTACACTGATTAATTCACTGCAAATATAACTTTATAATCCTATATATTTATATAGGATTACAAAGTTATTTATGCAGTTGGTGTATCTAGAAAACGGGACGAAAATAACAAAATATTTTAATTTTCTCTTGATTTATACACAAAACACTAATTGTACTCTAAATTTGAAGCTTCTACGTCTGCTAGAAGTGCCTTGGAGTTTTGATGATCGGTCAGTCAGTGGGTGACAAAATTAAGAAACTTTGACTAGTTATAATTCTTAAACTACTGCTTCAAATTTGATAAAATTTTAAATATACCGTATTTATACAATGCATGCTTAGTTACTGAAAAATCAGGCTTCTAGTTTTATCCACAACGATACGGAACGAAAGGATGGTACGGCCGTGCCGCTCTTTTGCTCGACTTGGCGGGGGCACTGCCGTGCCCACAGATGTTATTACTATAACAAAATATCCAAATTGACATTCTTCATTATTCACTTGATGTTTTGTACAGGTCTTGGTTCCTTGACGCATTCTCATACCTACAAGTGAAGGCCTTGATGCCTTTCTTGGAGCTTTTAGAGATGTTCATTGTGTTAGTATCGCCTATCCTACTCAACAATCAAGAATATCCAAGTCAAGCGAATGTGTACGGTGAGTAAAAACATTCTTCTGTTAATTTATGCTCACTCAGGCCATAAAGACAGCTCTTCTCTGCATTTTCCTGTCCTCATTCTCTCTTTCTTCAGCTACAGATTAAACTAGATGAGAATAGAATTTTTATACGTGGGAGAGCCATGCTGCAACTATATCTATAGTTGTAGCACGAATGGGTCGGCTCGACCGGGGAAGGCCCACGCTCTCGTAGAGTACCAGCGTAAAATAGCAGCTTAATGTTGCTGTGTTGCGTATGGTGAGTGTAGAGTACCGGAGACCCTTTTCACTGGAAACGAGGCATTCCATCTTAGCCCTCACGGGTGACAACGCATCTGCATTTTGATTCGTAGTCGAGGATAGATGTAGATGTCTATGGGCCACAGCAACCACTTACCATTAGGTGGAATGTATGTTACCCTCTTCATATTAAAAAAAAAAAAACTATAATTTTGACACTCCCTCAGTCGTCCGTGAGCTTCGCAGACAAAGAGCTAAGCCACGCCCCCAAAACTAAGATTCATTTTTCAAGTATCCTCCTAGTAATTGATAATAATTATCGCATATCTACATATCGCTCTAGGATCTCTTAGTAGTGATAACACAAACCAACAAAGACAGTCTGCAGTGCCAGTTGTTCCGCAACTACACCTACCCTCAGTTACCTGTCTGAGTATTTTAAATATAAATATTTTTCATTTTTCATATTATCAATATACATTATTAAAAATTACTGTAGTGAAAGTAAATTGTATCTACCACACGTTCGGATAATATCTCTGTCCTAGGAATAAAAAGTATGCAACCCGGGGTAATAACACAAACAAATATTGAAAGCGATGTGGTCTAGGCGAGTCTTTTTGATACAGACGATAACGCAATAAATCCTTTTTTTTATTTATTAAATCATCACCAACATTTGCATACATTGTTAAAGTTATAATTTACTTACCTACATAGATACGGTTACTTTAAATGCTAATTAAATACTTTACGTCGTAATCGGGCAACAGCGTTGTTCTACTTTTTTATAACGAAATTGTTATGACCCTCAAACTTACAGTCCACTTAATTAAGTAACTGTTGCAACTTTAAACTAAAAAGTTTATTGACGCTTTCTCACCTCTGAGACCAAAGATGATTTTAAAACTGTATTTCGACTTACTATCAGATGAACAGAGGGCTTATTTGTGACTCGACTGGGTAAGTGGTACAACTTCCCCTCGGCCTAGAAATTCATATGGTTAGGTACCGCCCTCTTACCTTTGCATAATTGCTGCCAAGTTGCTCCTTTGCGAATCGAAGGGTGCAGAGCATCCTATAGTATACCGAGAGACTGGCTACTCTGCGCCTGTGCTCGAAGCTGCCAAGATTGATTTTAACCAAATCAAGGTCTGCAATGAGCCTCTTAGCACGTCTCTCCACAGAGTCCAACGCTGTCAGGTGGCATTTTGCAGCACCAGCTCATATGTGTCACCAACAGTATAGTTACAGGTTGTGAGGCTTCCTAAGAAAATCCCCATACATTACAACATACTTGTACTTTTTTTTCAAGTCGGTAACACGTATTCATTGATCATTTATCATCATGTGAACTGTTCCCTTACCAGTTATTTTAGTTACAATAAATGTATAACTTAAATTGAAAATTTTGAAAACTCCCGAAAAGGAACTCTACCGCAGTTAACAAAACAGCTGATGACCTTGAAACTGCTGAGCCGATTTTGATATAATTTAAAATTAAAAAATTTGTACAGCCGACTTTAATATAAATTATTAAGAATAACTCAAAAACAACCTTGATCAAATTCATATGTGACCACATGTAAAGTACCAGCTTTCAAATAAAAAAAGAATCATCGAAATCGGTTCACCCAGTAAAAAGTTATAACACACCTAAAAAAAATACAGTCGAATTGAGTGCCGTCTCCTTTTTGAAGTCGGCGGAAAACATATCTAGGAACCACTGTCAGAAAACCAAATCGATTCACCCGTTTAAAAGCAACTGTGCCACAGACAGACACACACACATAGCGGTTATAACATCCCTCTTTTGGCGTAGGGGGTTGAAAAAAGGAAGAATATGGGCCTAGTTAAAATGAACCTCTAGAAAGTCATTCTGGTAAAGTTTTAAATTGATTTCACACTTTGCAGACGGTCAGAGTTTCGACTTCGTGGTGATTGGTGCAGGTTCAGCTGGATGTGTTGTTGCTAACCGCCTCACGGAGATTGGCAACTGGAGCGTGCTGCTGATCGAAGCGGGGGATGATCCGCCAGCTTTTGCTAATGTTGGTGACTTTTTCCTTCATTTTTTTTTTGTTTTAAGAAAAATATATAAAATAAGAACGCTTGCAACGATAAAATATGAGAGTGCTATAAAAATAGATATAAAATAATAAAAAATACGCTTCATTTACGAATTACATTTACATATCCGTCGGTTATTGTACTCGTAAATAAGAAGGAAACATATCAAAAGGGACCAGGTCATGCTACATCATGGGACCATTTTGTGTATAGAGATCAACGTGGGCAGTAGGCTATAAAACGGTTGAGACCTATGTAGATAAAATAATAAAGTAAACCATTATTTATTTATGATTTATTTGCCCGCCAAGCACAAAAAGGCGGAATTAATGCAACTTTGCATTCTCTAACGTTTACCTCCAGGCTAAGCAGAAAAAATTTTGTAAGTGCAAAGTGCAAACAGCTAAGTTAGAAATAACTATGTCTACATAGTGTACGCATAGTAATAACCATAACAACATACTAAGATACATATTATAAACATAATCACACAAATACATTATTATTTATTTATTTTTAGATAGGTACACCATTACATAGATATTCATACAATATATATAAATATATACAGGTATTTACTTAATGTAAGTAACATGTATGTATATAATAAATCTCGATCTACTAAGTTGATGATAAAGTCTCGATTCTTAACTAAAATGTTCTCAGCCTCTATGATACTCATGCTCCAGTTCACAAGGTTAGATTGAAGCGTCCCTCTGCCCCATTGATGACAGAGAACATAAAGTCGGCAAGGTCTAGACGAAATCGAGCTTTTCTTGGTTTCAAGAGAGATCTTACTGAAGAAAATTGGTTATCTTTTAAACCAGCCACGAGTAGGTGTAATCAGATGGTACGTGTAGTTAAACGCCGATATTTCCATAATTGTATTAATAACTCTACTCCAGCCGTAGTGTGGAAATTTCTACTATCTTTTAGTCTTTACAGGCCAGCTACATTGGATTTCGCTTCTGTAATAGTATTGGACCCTACAATACGCTCTCAAACTATGACTTCCATTGCTTCTGTGCAAACTAACATTCCTACCTTTAATTTTTCTCCTGTTTCTCAGGATGATGTCAAAAGTGTATTTTAGCAATCCAATCTAAGGCGGTGGGCTATAATGAGATTAGTAGACATATGGTAGTATTTATCCTAGAGCACCTTCTTCCGACAATTTCCCATATTATCAATTTTTCCCTTGATTCAGGTCACTACCCTAATCTTTGGAAGAAGGATTTTATAAAGCCTCTCCCAAATGTTCCTACTCCCATTCTTCCTAATTATTTTCGCCCAATATCCATTCTATCTTTTCATTCCAAAATTTTATAATCCTGTGTTTACAAGCAAATTTCTACTTTTATTTCGAAACATAACCTACTGAGTATATTTCAGTCTGGGTTTCGCCCGGGTCATAGTACCACCACTGCTTTAATTAATGTTACTGATAATATTAGACAAAGTATGGAAAAAATATATAACAGTACTGGTTCTAGTTGATTTCTCAAATGCTTTCAACACAGTTGATCATGAAATCCTTCTTTCTATACTGTCTTATCTGAATTTTGGTCCTACTGCTTTGGAATGGTTTGCATCTTATCTTCGAGGTTGACAGCAGTCAGTCTGTGTGGGGCAAATAACTTCAGCATGGGCTGATGTGGATGCTGGTGTACCACAAGGCGGTATTCTTTCTCCTATAATTTATTCAATTTTATTAAGTTTATTACCTCCATCCTCGACTTCTCTTACCATTTGTACCCCGATGACCTTCAGCTTTATGTGCAAGCAATTGGATATATCCATAATGGGATCAGCTATCGGAGATTGGTCTACTCGTTATGAAGTTTTGGTCAATCCTTTGAAATGCCAAGCTATACTAGTGGGTAACTGAAGGATGCTGGCTAAGATTAATCTTGCAGATGTACCTCCTATTTATTATGATAGTATTATAATTCCGTTCAGTAATTCTGTTAAAAATCTTACCTATCTACCCATCGACAGCACGCTGAATTGGAGAACCCAGGTTTCAGAAGTGAGTGGTAAAGTCATTGCCACGTTATATGCTCTGTATCGTTTAAAACATATTCGTCTCACAAAATCTAAGATCATGCTTGTCCAATCGTTCACATTACCCATAATTGATTATGCAGATGTGTTCACCCAGATCTGTCCCCAGATCTTCGGAACAAAGCTGGAACGTCTTCTTAATAACTGTATAATGTTTATTTTCGGGCTTTGTAAAAATGACCATAGTTTGCAATATAGATCTAAACTAAATTGACTTACAACCCGGCAACGGTGCAATTCCAAAATATTGCTTGTTCTTTTTTCCATATTAAATGACCCATCTTCGCCTTCTTATCTTAAGAGTAAATTTCCTTCTTATCTTAAGAGTAAATTTCACTATCTCTCTTCATCTTATGACAGGGTCCTAAGTTCTTCTTCTAACAACACAATCTGTATTCCTGTTCACTACACCGAGTTCTATAGTAACTCCTTCACAGTTCAGGCTACACGCCTTTGGAACTTCTTGCCCGATGACATCAGAAAAGCGGCCAATAAGTACGCTTTTAAAAAATTGGTCCTAATCAAATATTGAAGACAACGCATTTTTCATGATTCATCCATTTAATATGTATCGCTAAACAGACGAATATATTTATAGTTATTTGTATTTACTATATATTATAGATGTATTTAATTATGTATATTTCTATGTATATGCATGTATTTATGTATTTGTATATATGTATGTATAAGTCATATTTTATTTATTAGTAAAATGTATATATTATGTAGTTAATTATCATTTTGTGTAGTGTTCTTTTATTCTATATTGCCATACCCACGTCAATTTCTCACCACTCCATGAGTTGACGTGTAGAGAATGCCTTAATGCATTAAGTCCGCCCTTTGTATTCTTTTGTTTTGAGGATTGCAATAAAGAATAAATAAATATAAAAAATGAAATAAAATATATACATACATGATACATACATACATAATTAAATATAGCAGTTTCTGATTCAAACACCTATAAAATAAGAACAGTAAAAGGAAAAATTTAGAATATAAGGATTTAATATATATATTTTGTTTTTTTTTCGAACCAGTGGTAAAGTAAAAAATGACTTTCAATAAGAATTACACATGTAATGTATATTGAATAAAAAATATTCTATTCTATTCTATTATAATTCTATTCTATATATAAACCATGTTTCCGAGAAACAATTACATATAACATAAATAAATGTATTTATTTGTTTGTTTTTTTATTATTTATCTAATTACAACTATCATTACAGGATTTCCACAACACAATAGATAAGTTAAACATTAGTAATAGTGCATAAAGTAGGTCTATAAATTAAAACATAAAAAAATTAAAGTAGCCTTTGTGAACTCGTTTAGAGAACATCCGAATAAATCAATATGCTCAAAAATATAAATATAATATATATTACACATATTTGGTTTCGTTGCTTTCGGGGATGGCTCTAAGAATTTAGATTAAATTTTGTTATATAATATTTGATTTTTATGATAATACAATACAAAAGGTATTAATATTGTAATTTTTAATTGCAGAACCCCGGATTGTCAGTGCTAATGCCTAACATGTTACCTGATTGGGATCACAACACAGTAGACGATGGATTTTCTAGTCAAGCATTAAGGACAAAAAGTATACACATGACCAGAGGAAAAATGCTAGGAGGCTCTAGTGGAGTCAACTACATGTTTTATGTAAGGGGGAACAAAGCTGATTATGATAAATGGGTAGAATTAGGAAATAATGGATGGGACTGGGAAACAGTAACGAATTATTTTAAAAAAAGCGAACACCTACTGGATTCTTTCATCTCGAAAAGTGAATCTAACTATTTGCACGGTACAGACGGCCATTTACATGTAACACGACCAGTTTGGAAAGAAAGCTCTGAAAAATATTTAGAAGCATTTAATGAAATAGGACATGATGTTTTGATTGACACGAATGGAAATAAACAAATTGGTTATTCATATCCTATGTTTACAATTGGCAATAATTTACGACAAAGCACAGCAGTCTCTTTTCTAAATCCAATTAAAGACCGACGTAACTTATATTTGTTAAAGAATACTATGGCTAGAAAAATTATAATCGACAAAAATTACAAAGTAACCGGCGCAGAAGTAAAATTACCCAATGGACAAATAATAAACGTCGGAGCTAAAAAAGAAGTAATTTTATCAGCCGGAGCTTTTAATAGTCCTCAGTTATTGATGCTTTCTGGTATAGGACCAAAAAACGACTTGAACGAAGTTGGCATTTTAACTTTAGTTGATTCTCCAAATGTAGGTAAAAATATGCAAGATCATGCATTGATTCCAGTTTTAATAACTGGCAAGAAAGATATCACAACAGTTTTTGAAGTAATAAATACTTTAAGAAATTTTGACAAGTTTCCGTCGCCGAGCTTGTTGGGACATGTTGCTTTAAATAAATCTCAGACTTATCCTGACTACCAAGCAACTGTCGTGCCCTTATACACGGGTGCCTTTGTACCTGTAATTATGTGTACCAAAGTATTTAACTGGAATGATGAAATATGCAAGGCGATGGCCAAAGCTACTTTAGACAAAGATACATTATTTGCGGTATTAACACTATTGCACCCTGAATCCAAAGGTAGAATTAAACTAAAGAGTAAAAATCCTAACGATGCTGTTGTTATTTATTCTGGTTTCTTTTCTAAGGAAGAGGATATAGAAAAATTTGCTAAATGTGTCGCTGACTACACTAATATAGTAAATGCGTCCTACCTCAGGAGTGTTAATGCTGAAGTTGTGAACGTTAATGTTGAACAATGTGCTAAATTACCATTTAAAAGTCACGACTACTGGAAATGCTATGTATTGAACTTAGCAGCGACACAGTTTCACGCAGTTGGAACTTGTGCTATGGGTCCCGAAGGCACTGGTGTCGTTGATGAGAGATTAAGAGTGAGAGGTGTGAAGGGTCTACGTGTGGTGGATGCAAGTGTAATGCCCACTATCACAAGTGGGAATATTAATGCTCCTGTTATAATGATTGCTGAAAAGGCTGCAGACATGATCAAAGTTGATAATAATTTTTGCTAATTTTACTAATTTTACCTAATATTTTAGACATAAATCGGTGATCAATTTTTAACATTAAATTATTTATTTTTGAGTATATTTCAACAATGTGTCCCTAAATCCATCAAAATACATTAATACAAGCTTATCAAAGTACATTGCCGAACAAGGCCTCTCCATAGATTACCTCTAAGGGGGATATTTGCTATAGTTGCCACATTTTTGGAAGATGTTCTTTATGGCATGGTGCGAATTTGAAGGATTGGAATTAGACGAAAAAAAGTGTAAGATTTTTCCATCACGACCCTTTCTATAATGCGATCGAGATGGAATAACATTCATCTCCTTCGCACTTTTACTTATCTTGCCATGAAAGAAATATTATTTTAAATGACGATTTATTTTAATAGACGCTAGTAATTAATTTATTTGTATTTATTAATCAATAATATAATACGTTTATCAATAATTATATACTATGAAAGGAACTTTGTTCCAACCGAGTGTTCCACGACACTCACGCATGTTTTTTTTAATTTTTTAGTTGTTTTTTATTATGGATATGCTGCTGCCCATTTCTTGGTTTGGTTATTTTTCTCTCTGTCGACTCTTACGATATCCACGAGACAATATGGGGCAGTGGCTTTTCTTACACCGTCGCTACACGGTTAACACCAGTATTAAACGGTTGTCTTTGTAAGGAAATTGCCTACAAATGATAACTCCCTATCTGGAAGTTTCTTTGTAATATACAATTTATGTTTTTTTAATAATAATAATAATAACAATAATAATAATAAGCCGAGCGCGAGGTGCTGCACGACCACCTAGCAGCCCCTCGCGTCCATCATCCCCACCAGACGGCTTGGTGTCGGCGGGGTCCTCTCGGACTCGGCAAGCGGCACCCGCCGCTGGTGGAGTACGCCGCATGCGTTGGACAAAAAATATGAACATAAACGCATTGCGGGCGTACTATAGGGCGAAAGGGGAAGAAACTGGAGGGATAGCGTATCGGGCTCGGATGCATCGCTTTTTTGCTGAGCTTGAGCCGTCAGTTCCCGTCACGGAGCAAAACCTGGCAGACCGAGTTCGGTACATCATACGCTCGAAAATATTTGATGATGCCGAACTCGAACGACTACGACGTGAGGCTATTCCCTCATCGAATGAACCGGCTATAGCTGGGGATGCGGCTCTTCAGGCCACAGACCAGCAGCCACATATAGAGGGCGCCATGGATCTCCCTGCTCTGGTTGATTCAGGCGATGATGGAATGGTCACCCAAGAACTAGAGCAGATGAGGAGTAAATTGGAGGAGGCGATTGTGGAAACGCGCAGTACGCCTCTCGAAAATCGACCGCGACTCCCGCGCATACCCCTAAGCAAGCGGAATCGGGCTGTCGTGAGGGCTCTCAACCCAATGCTGGTCACCTATTTGGAAGCCAGCCGGGACCTTTGCGAGACGGACTCAATTCTTTTTGGCGCCGCACTGGCAGTTTGCCGTATTGTTGGCGCCAAACTTCCCACGGCTGGACGCGCTACTAGACAAAGTAGCGCCATCCCAGCCTGGAGAAGAAGGATTGAGGACCGTATCGTAAAGGCAAGGGCCCTCATCGGCAGGCTGATAAGCTTCAGGTCGGGCAATAATAGGCCGCGAATTGTGCGCACCGTCAAAATGGCGTTTGCTGGGACAAATATCAGTTTGTCCCAGCCGGATATAACGCAAAAACTGACGGAGCGCATAGACGACCTGAAGCACAGAATCGCTGCTTGGGGGAAGCGGATTCGGCGATATACCGAGAGGTCGACACGGTTCAACCAGAATCGTCTCTTCCAGAGTGATCAGAAGAGGCTATATAAATCATTGGAGCGACCAATGGTACGTGGAACGGGCCAAGCACCGAATCAGGCCGACACTGTCGCATTCTGGCGCGGCCTGTGGTCAGAGCCCGTAAATCACCGCGAGGGCCCTTGGACGGAAGTTGTGGTGAGTCAGTGTGCGAATCTTACGCCCATGGACCCCGTCATTATAACGCCGGACGATGTAGCTGAGGCGGTCCGAAGGGCCCCGAACTGGAAAAGTCCGGGGCTCGACGGGCTGCATCACTACTGGCTGAAGGGGTTCGTGGTGTGTCACGCTGTGCTCGGCCGACAATTTCAAGAGGCTCTCGACCAAAAGTCGCTCCCGAGCCTCTTCACTACTGGGATCACTCATTTGGTTCCTAAAGACCGGGATACCATAGACCCGAGCAAATACCGCCCCATCACGTGTCTACCCACGACACTAACATCCATTTTGAGCGCGAGAATCACTCGTCACCTGAACTCAAATCAGGTGATGTCGCGCGCTCAAAATGGATGTCGGGGCGGTGGTCGTGGAACCAAGGAACCACTCCTCATTGACGCGGTCATTGGCAAAGTGGTAAAACGCAACCGTCGGAACCTATCCGCCGCCTGGATAGACTACAAAAAGACATTCGACTCGGTGCCTCATACATGGCTTAAGGGGGTCCTCGAGCTGTACAAGGTTGACTGTACAGTTCGAGACTTCCTCGGGCAGTGTATGGGGCAATGGAGTACGATCCTTTGTCATCTAGCCGAGCGGATGACGGCTGCGGAGAACCACATAAGGATAAGAAGGGGTATCTTCCAGGGCGATTGTCTGAGTTCAATCTGGTTCTGCCTCTCTCTGAACCCTCTCAGTACCTTACTGGAGGGCTCCGGGAGGGGATTTCAGCTTCGGAGGGGAGGTACAAAAGTGACCCACCTTTTCTATATGGATGATCTCAAGTTATTCGCCTCCAGTCGCTCTCATCTTGTGGAATTGCTAAACATCACTTGTGATTTTAGCAATTCTATTAGAATGGAGCTGGGGACGGATAAGTGTGCGGTCCTCCATGTTGAAAGGGGAAGGGTTGCTAACTCTGAGGGCATAGATTTATCTATGCCCATCAACATAAGGACCCTTTCCGAGGCTGAAACATACCGATACCTGGGTATGTCACAGAACATCGGTGTAGATGAGGCGGGTATGAAACAGTCAGTTTGCGATGTGTTTTATGCACGCTTGACCAAAGTGCTTAACAGCCTTTTGTCCGGTGTGAATAAGACGCACGCATATGACGGTTGGGTCATGCCTGTTCTCATGTATACCTTTGGCATACTTAGGTGGACTCAGACCGAACTAAACGCTCTGGACAGAAAAGTCCGCACTATAATGACGTCCCACAGGATGCATCATCCGAGATCGTCAGTAATGAGGCTGTACTTGCCGCGGAAGCATGGCGGGCGCGGCTTTTTAAGCGTGCTTACCATGCACAATCGCGAAGTGTGCAGCCTCCGTAATTACTTTCTGACGAGAGCGGATGATCCATACTATAGGGACGTTATTTCTTGTGATAAAGGACTGACCCCTCTATCCTTAGCCAACGAGCAATGGCAAGACCCAGCAGTACAGTGCATTTCCGACCGGGAGACCGTATGGAAGGAGAAGGAGCTCCACGGGAGGTTCTACAAGGCTCTACATGAGCCTTTCGTAGACACAGTCGCCTCCCTTCACTGGCTACGTTTCGGTGACCTCTTTGGGGAAACCGAGGGTTTTGTGTGTGCAATACAGGATCAGGTTATTAAGACCAACAATTATCGGAGATACATCCTAAAGGATGGCGCCGTCGACATCTGTCGAGCTTGTCGCCATCCCGGTGAGTCACTTAGGCATGTCATCTCCGGTTGTTCGGCGCTTTCTAACTCTGAGTATTTGCACAGACACAATCTAGTAGCCAGGATTCTACACCAGGAGCTCGCTCTGAAATACGGTCTCGTGGATCGGAAACTGCCGTATTATAAGTACTTGCCGGAAGCCGTGCTCGAAAATGACCGCGCCAGGCTCTACTGGGACCGGGCCATCATCACAGACAGGACTATTCTTGCGAATAAGCCTGATATTGTGCTGATGGACCGGGCACAGTCAGGGATCTTTTTGGTCGACATTACCATTCCTTATGACGAGAACCTCGTGAAAGCCGAAACAGATAAGGTGACAAAATATCTGGACCTGGCTCACGAGGTTACCGGCATGTGGGGTGGTCTGCCGACCGAAATTATTCCTGTGGTCGTTTCTGCGAATGGGTTAATCCCAGTCAGCCTCCCGGGTCATCTGAGGCGACTGGGACTCCGTGACGGACCGCTCCAGGCTCAAATGCAGAAGGCGGTGCTCCTCGATACCGCCCGCATCGTCCGCCGGTTTCTTTCCCTTTCCCCCTAACCCTCGGCCGTCTGGTCTCCCCTGCCGAGGGCTTCCATCTGGTTGGGTTTTTATATATTTATGTATTTTTTATGTATTTATTTTATTTTATTCATATTTATGTATGTTTACCATTTTCATTTCATCATTCATCATTACAGCCCTTCACAAGTCCACTGCTGAACATAGGCCTCCCCCAAAGAATGCCACAAAACACGGTCCTGAGCCACCTGCATCCATCGACTTCCTGCATGTCTTACCAGGTCGTCACTCCATCTCGTGGGGGGACGCCCTACACTTCGCCTACCGGTACGAGGCTGCCACTCGAGAACCTTTCTTCCCCATCGGTTGTCGGTTCTTCGAGCTATATGGCCGGCCCACTGCCACTTCAGCTTACTAATCCGTTGGGCTATGTCGGTCACTCTGGTTCTACTGCGGATATCCTCATTCCTAAGTTTATCACGCAGAGAAACTCCGAGCATAGCCCTCTCCATAGCTCGCTGAGCGACCTTGAGCTTCCTCATACGGCCAGCAGTGAAGGACCACGTCTCAGTTCCGTAAGTCATCACTGGCAACACGCACTGGTTGTACAATTTCGTTTTAAGGTTTTGAGGTATGTCTGACGAGAAGATGTGTCGTAGCTTCCCGAACGCTGCCCAGCCGAGTTGAATCCGTCGATTGACCTCTCGGTCGAAGTTGGACTTACCCAGTCGGACTATTTGTCCCAGGTAAACATACTCGTCAACAACTTCGAGCTTAGTGTTCCCAACAACTATCG